TGGAGGTCATACTGTTAGGCACTTGATCTATACACATTATCACTTCAGATTGGAGCAAAGCTGGTTTGTCACGTCTCTCTGTCTGTGGAACTTGTAAAAGTTCAAGAGAGTCGCCAAGATGAGTTAAGATTTCTAAACTACTTCTTCAGAAAGGTTCAGGGATGTGATTGATTCAGCCCGAAGAAGAGAGATTTAATAACAGCGTTCAAATAGATGAAGGGTTTTTACCAAGGGCCAGTGAGAATATGGGGACCACATGTTCTCAGTCTGCTCTGAGCAAAGAAGCCCAAACCCAGGCTCTGATAGGGAGAAGTTTCTGACATTAAAGGCCAAAGGACACAAATAAACTAGAGAATATACTTCTGGGAAATTCTTCATTGGGGGAAGGATGGGAAAGAAAGAGAGGATAGGAAGGAGAGAGGGAAAGTGAGAGGGAGAGAAAGAGAATGCAGCAATATTCTAGCAAGTTCTGAACACTAAAGAAAGCAACCTCAAAGCTCTTGCCAGATGTACTAGTATTAGTCTATAAATTACCTCATTGGCCTTATCTTGTTTGCCTCAGTGGATGGAGCATCAGCCCTTAGACTGAAGGGTCCCAGGTTCCAATCCGGTCAAGGCCATGTACCTGGGCTGCAGGCTCAATCCTGGCTATGGTTGCGATGTATGTGGGAGGCAACAACTGATATGTTTCTTTCACAACAATGTTTCTCTCTCTGTCTCCCTCTCTCCCACTCTCTCTAAAAATCAATGGAAAAATATCCTCAGGTGAGGATTAACAACAACAACAAAATTTACCTTGCTCTGTTCTTGGACCTTTTGGACATGCATGCCTCAGAGTCAGAACCTACCCTCAAATGATTTCTGTGCACTGTTTCTTTTTTCTCTGGAGCTGCCCACTGCTCCTATGGGCATCCGTTATCGCTATTGCCACCTCCCTGCCCCCAGGTCTCCAGGGCCTTCAGGCATTTACCGAGCATCTCCTGTATATAAGGGCACTGTACCCAGGCTCTGTTCTCAATCCTATCACACATAGTACCTATCGTAGGTATTATTAGACCCATTTATGGGTGAGAAATCTGAAGCTCTGAACTGGTAAGCACGAGAGCCAGGATGTAAATCCAGGACTGGTGGACTCTGATGCTTTTCCACTCTATCTGCTACCAGTTCCAGGGAGGGGACTGTGTGCTTCCTGTTGCACGTGGCTGCAGAAAGAAGGGGAAAGGGGTGGATTCTGCCCCCCACTCTCATCTTCTGCTTCCGCAATATACAATCGCTCCAGACTGGACTGAACAGCATTATTTGTGATGGATGTGTTGCAAAAATCATTCAAATTATTTCATATCTCCTTCATTTTATTGGTGAAGAAGTTTAGTGATTGAAACATACCAGTAAGGCCTACTTCTTATTCTTTCTATTGTTGGCTCAGACTTTGAAGAACTCTCCCAGGTGAGCATCACACCTGGGTGGAAGGTAGGCCAAGAAGAGCCTAGAAAGCCCTGAGTCACACTGATTGCCCCTCCTCTGGGAGCCTGCAAATCAGGGTGCATTGTCCCATTATGATAAAGAATGGAAATAGTGTACAAATTATGTCACAACAAAGGGAGAAATTCTAACTCTAGCACACAGCAGGAAGCAATAGTTTGCTCATTTGAGAATTACATGGCTGTTTATGCTTCTGGCACCTGGGCTCATTATACTGTGATTTAAGCCTCTGGTGAGCCTGCAGTGTCATGTTTACCAAGAAGCCACATGGTTATTACTGGTGATAAAAGCAAAATACTAAAAGGCACCTGAGACTGGAGGATCACACACAAGCATTCCAAGAAAGTCTGCTCATTGGGATGGTGTGGACAAAGTGCCTCACACAGCACGTGGCACCAGACTCCCTTTCTTTCAACCTCTTCTACTTGCTACAGATATTAGCCAGTCCTTAGCCTTGAGCTCGGAGAGATGTCTATTCAAATTATACCAAAGACCAAATCACATGACTGAGGATAACCTTAACTGTCATCCAGCCTGACCCCTTACATCTGGGGTTAGATTGCCTGGTTTAGACAAAGCACACACTGGTCAAATCCCATTATAGTGAACTGCACAGGACACGCCAGCAGAGCAATTTTATTAGACAGTTAGAAATCAGATTAGTCCAACCCGAGCAGACATCAACATCCAGGCTTTCTGTAGTGTGTTAGCAAAAGAAAGAGCTCTTTGGCACATCCTTAAAGGAGGAGGCATATTCACTTCCTCTCATCCCCACACCTTCCTATGAGCTCTTCAGCATTTGCACGAGTTGTAAAGGTTATTGCAAATTCTACAAATATATATATATATAGATATATATTTTCCTTTTGATGGTACTGGAGCATTTGAAGGGATGCTTGATGGCAGAATAATAGAGTGATGATAACATCAGCTGGGCTTCATTTCTACTCTTTTGTGGAATTCAGAGTTATGTATTTTCACTAAAGAAAGGGACTTAGACAAGAACCTATGAATGTCCACAGACTAGCTGTAACAACTGTTTTCCCACCAGACCCTTCTCATGCAGTCTGGTAACAAATGTGTTGGCCACCACTCAGCCTTCACTCCCCTCCTGGTCCTCCCAGCCCTTCCAAAAACAGAACCACCTCTGGACCAGGGGCCCCCAAATCCCAGCAGCAGGACTGGGAAGACAGCCGGGAAGAACACAAACAGAACAGAAGATCCGCGTCCAGCAGGAGATTGCTGGAAGTCCTTCCCACCACAGAGAGAACCCCAAATCCACCAAAGCATAAAAAAGAGCAGAAACTTGTCTCCTGTACTTCAGAGCAACAGGCTAGCACTTCACAGAATCTGGCATGGGGCAGCATTTCTGAACTGAACTTTTTTTTTTTTTTTAAGATAAAAAGAGATTTTTTTTTTTTCAAAAAGTAGACCAAGAATTCAACCCAATGAAAATTGCTTTGTCCATTCACATACAATAAGCTATAGAAGCAAGAAGAAAAAATTCAATTACTTCTCATTTATTGATTACAAGTTGTTCAAAGAAAAAAATAAAAATAAAGCCCTCCATTGGTTGCCCAGTATCTTGGCACAGGGAATACATATTTAATTAATTATCTAATTGCATATTAATTATGTAAAGGAAAAAAGTGGACTGATTTTGCTCATCAAATGTTTTGCCAGTGTCTACAATTAGGAGGCCACTGGATACAGGCATATCTAGAAGATAGGGTGGTTTTGGTTCCAAACCACTATTTAAAAAAAAAAGTGAGCTATAATTTTTGTGCTAAAGGAGGATCTTTCCTTTAATTTGTTTAAAAAAATAAAAAGCAACCTTTGTGGAGCACAATAAAGCAGAGTGCAATAAAATAAGGTATACCTGTATAGCTGACTCTTGAGGGGAGGTAAGGGACACTGACCACTTGCATAATTTAAGTGGCCCTCAGCATATGCCAATTCCAACCACTGCTTTTGTGAAGAGCAATGCAAGGCTTCACCTTACTGGGTACTTTGTTTCCTAACCTGGGCTGTGGGTACACTGGTGCCTACTTTATCATGCTTTATGCCCCTTTGAACATCTTGCATATTTTGTATTAAATGTTGCTAAACTCCCAAATCTTCACCAACAGATTCTATTCTGGGCTGTTCAGAGCTGAAAGTGGAAAAGCAAAGTTAGAAACACCAAAATGTAAGTGCAACAAAGAACAGAAGATGTAAGAGACTGGTTTTGGAAGGTTGCTTAAAGTTCTAAACCCATGCCAAATAACTGCGATGAAAAGGGAACCAAACTCTATTGTGAGCCTCCTAGACACACAACTACTGAGTTATTCTGAACACCTGTGGAAATTGGGTGATAACTCAGCCAAGGGAAAGCATCAGGCACCCCTGTCAGGTGCACCATTGGCCCAGCTCCTCTGAATTTGCTCACAGAATCTCTCCTCCCAGGTCTGAACTTTTATGAGAGTGTCCTCCCTAAAGTAGGGGAGACCCTGTGGGGGTTGTGACCTTGTGCTTGTAATCCCTGGTATTCAGGGGAGATGCTGTAAAAGGCCGAAGCCTACCGGCTAGGACCTAAGAGAGCTGTTTCTTTCCCTTTGGGACACAGGCCCTAAACCACATTTGGTCTCAGTGCCTCAAGGAACCAGCCTTGGTCTTCCAATCTTTCTGCCATGACATTGAAACCAACTGTTCCACCCCCTTTACCCTGCCCTCAACACCCACAGGAAGAGAAGAAAGATGGCCCAATAACTAAATTTCAGTCCTAATTCCAGCCCTCCTAGAACCCAAGTTTGCCACTATCTCCCCATTCCTGAGTGGCCAAGGTTTTATTGTCTAGTCTTCCCTTTTACCCCGACTGCTCAATCCTCACCAACCTGCAAGCTCTTAACTGTGGTAAGAGACCATAGACAGGATGGAGAGCAGAGGATGTAAGAAGAAGAAGAAAAATCCAACTCCCCGTAACATCCACTGTGTAATCCCCGTAACATGCCCTGTGTAATCAGCCAACGGGAGCACAAACACCCCAGTATTTCTAAGAGCAGGGCTTTCCCCCACATAAGAAACTGTTAAAAAAAAAAAAAAAAAAAAAAAAAAAGCAACACTTCTATAAAAGCTCTACAGAGATAAGATTCTGAAATCTGACACCTAATTTCTCTTATTTCTGAATACCGTTAGACCAACTGGTTTTACTTCCTTCCCACCACACACACAAAACCCCACAGGAGACTCGGGGGAGAGGCTGGGCTCCCCAGAGTCTGGCTGGTGCACTTGCGTGCAAAACGCCTGCTTTATTGGCCTCGCTTGGTAAGTCGAAAATCCTCCCTCTGTTCCACCCAAGTTAACAGATGGCTGGTCCCTTTTGGTACAGAGGCATAAGCATCTTCAAAATAACCTCTTCCTTTAACGTGTGCCAATTAATTAAATGTCACTGTAAAATGCCGCAGCCAAGGAGGGGAAGGGAGAGCCCAGGAGACGAAGGGTCAGTGGAAGAGAACAAGGCTGAGGTCACTCTCTCCTACCTTCACCCGATGACCCCGAGAGATCGATGATCACATACACTCTGCCTTCTGGCTCCAGGTCAATCTGCAATTAAGAAAATGACAGTGTCTTGGTTAGTGCATTGTGGGGACAGCCCACAAGTTCCATGACATTTCCACCCCAAGTTGCCAAAACCTAGAGTCACAGTTCCATTCAATTCCCCAATCTGCGAAGTGTCAAGTGCCAGGTGAATGAGGAACCAGGGAGAATCCCCATTTAGAGACTACCCATGATACTCTGGGTGCCATTCCAGGAGGTCTGACGCATACAGATAGGTCATTCCAGTGGTTCTCCGGAAGCGATTTTGCTGCACAACGGAAACCTGGCCCAGGGGACAGGTGACACAGGGACATCTGGGGGATATAAAAGTCAGGAGACATTTCTGACTGTGCTGCTACATCTCCGAAGTAGAGGCCAGGGATGCTACCAAACATCTAGCACACAGACCAATCCCCACAACAAAGAACAATCCAGTTTAACATGCCTCGTAGTAGGGTTGTTACCCCATTTTACAGGTCAGAAAACTGGGCTCAAAGTTCCAAAGTAAGTGGCAATGCTGTGATTGCCAAAACTATGTAAGAAACCCATGTTTCTCAGACCACACAAACTGCCCACAGGGGAACTAAGAGAAGCACAAGACACGACTCCAGCTCTCAAAGTGTTTACCATCTCATTGAGGAGTCCCAAACCAGAGTGCAATGCTGAACCCGGCTTAACGATGAGGGACAGGGAAGGACTGAGCGTCTGTGAGCCTGAAATCCATGGAGAAGAGCGGACTGGAAAGATTCTATGAAGGCAAGAAAGGGAAGGCCTTCAAGGTGGAAGTATCAGCATAAGCAAAGGCCAGGAATGCGCTCAGCGCCTCTGCCAGACCGAAGGACCCCCATGCTCAGGCTGTGTGTTGGCACCTGTGTTTTTGCAAATTCCAGATTCTACCAGGGTGGTAAAGAGAGAGGCAATATTGCTAAAGTCTTACCGTTGACCTTTCCCATGCACCCTCACTTCTTCCTCCCAACTCCAAATCCAGCTAACTGCTTCAATACAGAACCAGGATGATGACATCATATGATGGAAGTAAAGTCAGAGGCGCTGGGCCTCTTAGCAGTTGAGACATCTTTGCAAGATCTCAACTGTCCTTACAGAAACTGTGTCCTCTGAGAGAGAGGAGTAACTCTGGAAACCCTGGGTCACCAAATGCCCCCAGTTGCCTACCCCTACCCCCACAATCCCATGTGTCTATGCAGGTCTCAAATTGGCTCATACATGCAGGCTTGTCTCCCCAACAAGCTGTGAGTTTCTGGACGGGTACAACCACCACCCTTCTTTTCCTTTTCACTGTCTCTGTCAAAGAGCAGGCAAACACCTAGCAAATGTGACTTAGGAAGGGTTGTTCTGGCAGATACCCCTTCCTCCTTCAAGGTCAAGGTCAAGTATCCTCTCCTCTCTGAAGTCTTTCCAGATATTCCCAGAGAGACTTGATCATCTGGCATGTGTATTCCCACAGGGCACACACACATCTTAACCATAGCTTCTATTCAATGGCACTCCATGGTCCATACGTCTATCTCCTCTGCTGGACAGAGTATGAGAATCATATTTGCATCCCCAGTGCATAGCTCACTGTCTGTGTGTCGGGAGACACCCAATAAACATTTGAGAAGTGGGAAAAGGCTCGAGGCTCAGGACTGTCAGGGCCTATTCTGGGATCATCTTCCCCTCCAAGGCTCCATCCCCAGTAGGAAGGAAGGTGGTCTGTACCAAAAAGTAATATTCAAACGAAAAGAGGGGGGGAAGGGACAGCTAGCTGTACTATGAGCACTGTGAGGTGAAAATCTCAGCTGGAACTGACACCCCTAAACCCACCCCATCCCGCCTCCCTCCCCTCCCCCAATACACACACACACACACACACACACACACACACACACACACACACACCCATCACACTCCACTCATAATCCAGGCTCCCAGCCATCCAAGCTCCCCACTTTATTTCCAGGCTCGGCCTTTCGTTGTTGATAGTGCTCAGGATTTCTCCCCAAATTACTATCATCAACAGGGGTCTTCAGTGCCTCCTAGGTGAGGCCTTTGGTGGCATCCCAGGTGCTCTGTCAGGGGAGGGTGTGGGTGGGGGTACTGGAGGATCTCAGGTTGCCCCCCAGAAGCCATTCACCTGGGATCTCGTGACTAATATCCAGATGGCAACCAGACAACAAGCTAGTGATGCCATGAGATGACTCCCCCCAGCACTTCTGCCCCAAGAGTCTGATTTTTAGATTTCTGAGTAAAGAGCATGCTCTCCAGCACCCTCACTGCACCTCCACCCTCCCAGACCCACCCCCAGCCACAAACACATCCAGGCCCCTACACTGAATTACAAACAGGAAAACCGACAGCTGAGCAGAGCCAAACCAGAATCCTATCCCTGCCACATTCAGGGGCCTCCTTGTCCAAAAGCATGGAATTTAAATAATGTATGCCTTTTAGAGATTAGATCATCCCTATTAAACCCCGCCGGCAACATGAAATGCTTTCTCATATCCTCCAAGTCAGAGATTTCCCACGACTGTGGACTCCACTGGCTAAGTACAATGCTATCTGTGAAAAGCAGGGAGGAGAGGCAGAGGAATGAGACAGGCTGCAAGGCCGAGCCGAAGGCAGGCAGTGTGCCTATCTCTGCAAGAGGGGAGTGAGAACTTGTGGCAGGGGGACAGGTCATTGGCGATAAGATGTATTAGGATATTAACATTCAAGATAGCAATCAGAAACCATTTTAGCACCCACTGCTCCTTCAGGGCCGATGAACTGCATTTCCAAACAGAGAAACAGAAATTAAGCTATTACACATGCCAAGAGCAACAGAGAGCTTTGCAGCCTGGGCAGATGGCCACAGAGCACTGGCCAGGCCCCGGCCAGCCGAGCGAAGAGGCTCTGAGAACCCATCTAGGGGGGTGCAACTTCAACGTGGGTGACTGCAGGGGTTATCGGGTACAAAAGGTGGTAGAAGGATGGTGCAACTTCATGGCTAAATTACTTTAATCACAGATTCTGCTCACCATTAGGAGGCCGAGATAATGAGGCATCCAAGGTGCCCAACGCTGAGGAGCCCCTGCAGCTGTTAGTGGGCATCAGCACCAGGCAGCTGGCACTACATGAAAGCAGGCCTCCTCCCTCCTCCCAACCCATCCCAGGGTTAGTTATAAGCGCCTTTTTCTGCCCTCCAGGTTCCTCCCAATTCTCTCTGATGCAACCCTATTTATCAAATCTCCTTGAACCTCATGTCTTGACTTGATGGGTCTTCCCAGCTACTATGTCTGTTCCCTTGACTTTGATTCTCTTTCAGGCTCCAGTGCCCGTGGCTATCTCTCCAGCTGAGGCCAGAAGCAGGGCAGCAGAACAGTGGGGACCCAATTCTGCCACCCACCAGCTCAGGCAATAATTTCCTCTCCCTGAGCCTCAGCCTCCATCTCTTCTCCGTGGCATGGGTTGATGTGAAAACTCTGTGAGTGAGCCTCCCTGGCTTTGTGGCCTGAAGCAAGCAACTACCTTCTCTTCGCCTCAGAATGTTCCTCCATGAAGTGGAGTTGATACTAGGCCTTGTGTCATTTGGGCGGTCATGATGTTAAGTGAGACAACCTAGGTAAAGTGCCTCGCGTGAGGCCTGGCATGAAATACTCAGTAATCGTTGGTGCTGGGGTTATAAAAAAGGCTGTCTCCAAATTGCCTCCTGGGCCAATGTTCTTTCCACTATATCAAACGGTTCCCCAACAACAACGACAACAGCAAAAAGGCATTTTCTTGCCCAAAGTTAATATCATTACACTAGAGGCCCAGTGCATGAAATTCGTGCACAAGTAGGGTCCCTAGAAGCTGCTGGCTGCCAGCCAGGGCCTTCCTTCATTCCACACCACCCCATGGTGGTCAGCGCACATCATAGTGAGTGATCGAACTCCCAGTTAGTCGAACCCCCGAGGAGACACTTTGCATATTAGGTTTTTACATATATAGGTGTTATTCCAGTACATCTAATAACTTTACAGTATTGTTGTGAATAGCCAATAAAGAATAAGGTGAAAGCTTTGTGTCCAGTCCAGGGGAAGCCCAGGGCAAAAAAGGCTATATCCCTGGTCATTAGAGGGCCAGTCTCTGCTCATGGGAAAAGGAGAAGGGGAGGGTGACGGGTATAGAATGAGCACCTACTCTTCCTCAGACTGTGTTCAGTGCTTTATCAGTTTATTTAATCTCCTGTAAGGTTGGCAGTATTTGCTGCTTCTCACATGGCAAAAAGGACTGAGAGAGCTTTTGCTGGATTCACACCCAGGGCTGCCTGGAGCACGGGGGAGGGATGACTTTGCTGAGAGCTTCCGACTCAAGCCCTCTGACAACCCAGACCGGGGGTTCTCTTCCTCTAAGCCTGTGCAGGTTCATTCTCCCTCTCAGGGCAAGTGACTGGCTTTCCAGCCAGGAAGGTTTAAGGCAGAGCAATGCTTCCCCACACCCTGCCCTCCAGCCCTTGGGCGAGGTCTGGGCATAAACACAGCTCCACTCATCTGAGTTAAGAATGAGGCAATGGGGAAAAAGCCAAAACCATCCCTCGATCCATGAAAAAGACATCTCTGAAACGCAGAAGATTCACAGGCACTTTGTAGAGGGTGGTGTCTGACCATTCACAGTCCTGTACACATTATTTTATGCATTCCCCCCAATTAACCTGTAAGGTCACAGGTATGATTAGCACCACTGTATGTATGAGAACACAGAAGATAACCAGCCAATACAACATGACTAGTCATGCACACCAATGCCCAACTCCAAGGGGCACCATTCACCTGAATGAGTTTCCTGGAACTGGGCAATCTGGAGGTGAGTGGCACCCTCAACTCCTGACTCTCAGTCCAGTGTTCCTGCCACCACACCACACCTGCCCAGAGGGAACCCTAACCAGTGGGCCAGCACTCCACCAACAGTGCAGCACTGCACAGCCAGCTTAAGTGTTACTGCTGCGTGTCACTGTGACCCACAGGTATCTATCTGCACACCTGTGT